TCAAAAAAAGATGGCGGCGCCCAGTTGATGCCGGTACCGGGCCACGGCGCCCAGCTGATGCCGATACCGGGCCGCGGCATAAAAAAGGTTGGGGATCACTGCCTTAGACTACTCTTCTTACTGCATTATTGCAACTCCTATTTTGAAAAACAGGAATTTTATTGGTATGGGGATAAGTATTTTTATAAAGCCTGCTGGAGTAAATATATTTTCAGGTTAGATTAATGCTTTCACTAAATCATTCAATTCGCTAGGAATTAAAAAAAATACACTCATGCTATATAGAAATATTAGTGACAAACCTCATATATGTTGAGGTATATAAACAGGCTTTTCTTTAAAAAAAACCTGATATCTTTGGTCTAGAGAGACCCAGGGAAATGAGCTTATTTAACTCATTTACATGGATTATTATTTTGTTTCAAATTATGTTTTAATCAAATTATTACAATGTTCCTGTATATAAAGAGAAACTAAATAATCAAGGACATTTTCAACGAAGAAGTGATCATGGGAATACATCTTTCCTAAACACAAATATATTAAAATTCCTGGCACACAAAGAATGCTTAAAATGTTTGCACAATATCAATGTAAAATCAAATTGGCTCAAATACAGAACATAAAAATGACATCATTTATTGGAAGATGGTAAATTTGCCATTTATAACAAGAAAACAGAACAACATACTTCACCGCACTGATAACAACATTGCGCTTTGGTTCGTTATCATAGCTCACACTCTCAATGCCGTAAACCTGAGCAAGTTCATGGATGATTCGACGGTGTTCTCGGTTCATGGGTGGAAAACAATGACTCTTCTTTGTGTGCTTGCTCTGCATTGGAGAGATATAATATTTTGATGAAGTTTGGAGAAGACTGACTACCATCTATGTTTGTTTTATGGAGAAATTGGGCAATGATTTTAAATGTAGCCAATTCTTTGGTAACTATTTACTGAACCAAAAAAACCCACCTGTGATTGTCTCAGATTTTTAAAAATTTCTATTTATATATTTTATATACTTTTTATGCTACTCTGTTTATATTCTTACAATAAACAATTTTATAATTGAACAGAGCTGAAATAAAAGCCCATACTTTAAAGTATTAAATTTGAGAAACATTACTGGTTGATGTTTCACACAAACACTCCCTTCCTTCTGAATGAATCAAGAAATATGATACCATTTTTATACAAGAAACTTGAGCCCTGAAATCATAAGAATTCAAGTCTTTTATTTAAAGGGTAACCTCACTTTCTATAATGAATATTCTTGTGGTGGTCTTTGTATATCAACTGGTTCTAAGTTTATGATACATTAACTCTGGTTGTCCTCCAATTCTGTATCTCTGAAACTGTAGGTGGATTACTTTACATTTTATTATTTAGCCTCTATATTCCTCAGCTGTTCATGTTCCACAATGAATGACATCTGGAACATCTGAATTTTATATTCTGAAGGAGTACATTGCTCCTGCAAATCTCAAATGAAGCCAAACAACAAATCTTAACTTGCTATTATTATGATTTAATAGAATCCTTCTTAGTTGTGAGGGAATACTTCTCCTAGAGGTTTCAAATATTTTGGAACAAACTAAGGAGCTGGAAATTATTCCAAATGACAGTTAAATGTGATTTTTATATATGGACTAATTCTGTTATGGGTAGTTGTGACGAAGAGCACGCCTACTGAAAACAGAATGATTGAAAAGCATTTTTAATTGTTTCATCTGATTTGACATGCATTGTAACTTTCTATTGGCAGGTATTGGGATAATGACCATATTCTAGTAATCGCCAGACTGCCAGTTTATGGCCTTAACTGTAATCAGAGATTCTTGATTCATATTATTCCTCATCTGGAAAAGATAGTAGACTCCATTTGTGACTGATTATCTATTAATATAATAATTAATGATTTCAAATAAAATATTCCTTTTATAAATTAATGATGACAAATAAGTAAAATATTGCTCAATATAGAAACTGGACTCAAACCATAACCTTAAATGTTAGTTTAATCAAGAATGTCACAGCAAAAAAAAAGTTATGAAAAACTGTAAGATATATAGAGCTTCATGTTGCATTATTTCTTGAGGCAGCAATCTTGAGAGATAAATATTATGAAATATCTCTAAAAAGGAACAGCAGTTTTAAAAATGTGGAAAAAATTGCCCAGATCATGAAAGGAAACACTTCTTCTTCATTTGGGCACTTTATTTTGCCTGTTCTTTCTGAAGATCCCTCCTGACAGGCTTAATATTTTAATGCAGTGACCCTATCACTCCATTCTTTTCCTACTTTTCTATGCTTCTACATACTGAAAAGAACTAATAAAGAGATTGTTCCCTAATGACCAAATACTCTCAATATTTTGTAGATTTAGGGAGGGTCCCTTATGCAACACTTTCTCTATCTCCATTCCTCCTGTTGTTGAGATATCTCTTTTAGGGCATTTGTCTCAGTTGTAGCACTCCCTGCTGTCCCCCAAGGTTATTCTGAGAGCACATTACACTTTATTGCATTTCTAATTATTTACTTAATGCAGATATTGGCTAAATATGGTGGGCTGCAACCAACAAAATTAGACAGCACATTCAAAATTAGACAGCACTTTACAGGAGCATCCGATATGTTGATTATATTTTTCTGTTCTAACTTTTTTTTTTACTTACCTTGTTTAAATATTTTAATTGTATTACTTTCATCTAAATATTGCAGATGAAATTTCTGTTTTTTCCAGCTCACAGATGTCAACTACAACTTCTAGGAATATCACAAAATTTGGGCAACTGCCATTCCAATTTGTCAAAAATGGTTTAGATTACGACGATGTATTTAATTTTATGCATAGTAAACATGTTGACTGTATTACTGCCTGTTCCCTATAAAATGTAATGTACAGCACTGGATTTAATTGCTTTCTGCCTATATTACCATATTGGTTTTGATAGAAGATTTTATGTACTGTACTTGGAAATGAACACGTTTTCTACATTACTAACCTTATTGACTGCTTCTATAAGAGCTTTCATTTCTTTCTCAACTTCACTGACAAACTTTAAATCTTTTCTGCAGCAGAAAGAAATAATAATTAGGACAACAACAGTTCTGTAACTAAGGATTTTTCTTTCAACCTAACTTAAGCTCCCCCCTCCCGGCATAAACTGGATATATTATTAAAGGTTTCTGATTTCCCATAAATTTCATTTTGTTTCTTAGAGAAGGAAATTTATTGTTTTTTAAACTCTGAGATTGTAATTCCATATATTTTAAAAATGTTTTTAAAAATAAAAGTATAGTCTTCCCAAACCTGTGAAGATTTGGTAGGATATTTGCTATTTTATAGTTGTTAGAACAAACTGATCAACAATTTACAAAGTCTTTTCTAATGCTGTATACACTGTTATGCATTGTGGACTGTGCATATATGTCATTGAAATGAGTAGTGACTGATTATGTGCCACCAAGTTGGTGCTGACTGTTAGTGATCATGTACATTTTCTCCATGATGATCTATCTCTCCACAACCTAGTCCTTCAGGTCTTCCAATAGTGTACTCATTCTCAGTGCAATTGAGTTCATCCACCTTACTGCAGGTGGTCTTCTTCTTCTTCTCTTTTCTTCCACCTTTCCCAATTTTATAGGCTTCCCAAGAGAGCTGGATTGTTGCATTATGTGGCTAAAGTACGATAATTTCAGCCACGAGTGAGTATACTGTGTTGATATATTTGTTTGTTTCCTTGCTATCCACAGTATTGTCAGAAGTCTTTTTCAGCACAAAACTTGAAAAGCATTAACATTCTTTCTATCCTGCTTCAAAGTCCAGCTTCCACATCCATAAGCTGTCACAAGGAGACTGTAACCCTGCTCCATTCTGTTCTTTGTAGATATAGAAACGTAACAGTATCAGAGCCTTCATAGCTATCTTGTCGAGTGCTAATTTGTGATCTATTTCTGGACGGTTGCTCTTTTATTGTTGACAGCTGCTCCCAAAAGTCAAATGTGATTCACCACTTCACAATCTTTATTGTTAAATTTAAGGCTGGTTTTTGTGCCTGTTGTTTGGTCCTTTTAATAAGAGTAAGATAACTTTATCTTCTTCCCTTAGTTTTTTTCATTGTGCACCTTGATTTTCATTTGGTAGAACTAGAATTTTAAAATCATTTGAATTCTTAATTATAAAGGAGCATTGTCAATGTAGCACAGGTTACTGATGCTTCTTTCAATTTCAAACCAACTTCATTTAAAATATATTCAACATTTACGAAGAATAAATAATGGGATTGTATATGTCCTTGCCTCGATTCTTCACCAACCTGGAGTTTTACCAGGTTTATTAGGTTCTATCTAGATTGGTTTCCTGGTCTGTGTATAACTTTTGCATGAGGGCAATGAGATTTTTGGGCTTCCACAGCTTGACATGGTCAATACAATCAAAAGCCTTTCTATAATCAATGGAACATATACTGATTCTTTCTGGTATTGTTTTATCTAGGCAGTTGGGATTATCTTTACCTTTGGTGATTTGCTGGGATTATATACTCCTGGCATACGTTCCTAGCATTTCGCTTATCCCTCCCAGGAATATCCTACCACTACAGGTAATCCTTGTTTAACAAATGTCTTATGATGATGATGAAAAAGTAACTTTGAAATCAATCTTCATATTTACAACCTTTGTAGGCCTGTAAGCTGAAGTAAGACATTAAGCACAATTGCGGTTTCACCTACAGACTTCGCTTAACAATTGGTCCCAATTGTGGTAGCTAAACAAAGACTACCTGTACCAAAATGAGGCCAACACAGCAGGACTTGCAGGAGACAATGGTGTATAGTTTAACACTGTAAAGATATAAAAGGAATAGCAACCAGCAGACTTTTTGTGACTGCAGGCTAAATTATTTCTCATAGCAGAACTGTGGATTCAAATACATGTTCTATGGATCATAAATAAAATAGTAGGAACAAAACAAATGGCAACAGAAGTATATACATAGGAATATCTGTGAGAAGATGGGTGGGTTAGAAATAGGAAATATAAACAAAGAAATAAATATTTGATCCCTTTCTGTCTAGCCTGAAATAGGAAATAAGAAATTGGAAGAGAACTGACTGAAAGGAAAGCAAGTAAAAAAGAAAAACAGCAAGTACAGAAAAATTCCAAACTGCATTGTCCAAATGTCCCTCAGCCATGCTTTGCCATGCAATAGGAGAAACCATCTCTTACCATTGGTACATATCAATACCATACCAGTACCATACGTACATACTTCTGACTCTGAAAATTCCTCCAACTTTAATAGAATTTTGATCAGAAAAACATTCAAAGATTTTCTGAATCATGTCAAGGGAGGTTTTACACCAGGGCAAGTTTTTTAAAAAAAAACTTACCGTGTTTCTCACATAATAAGGCCGGGCCTTATTTTTTTTGGAGCCCCGAAAAAACGGCTAGGCCGTCTTTTCGGGGGGTGACTTAATTCCCCCCTTGCATCCTCGCCAACAGCCGCTCCTCCTTTCCACCTGGCGCCCTTGCTGCTTTCTGGCTCTTTAGCAACCGGCTTCGTGTTTGGAGCACTGCCGCTGTTTAGAGCTCCAAACGGCGGCAGAAGCTTCCAAATGCGGAAGCTCCAAACATGACGGTGGGCGATCTTTTTATTTTGGTCCGCGCGAAGTTCAGAGCGAGCATGAGAGGGAGACCGCGATGCCTTGCTAAAGAGCCAGAAAGCAGCAAGGGCGGCAGGTGGAAAGGACAGGGTCGCGATCACACGGAGATGCCCAAAGCGCGGAGCGCACATAACTAAAGGCGGCGCACGCAGTTGGCTTGGGGACTACAAGGCAGCATCTGCGCCTCTTCCCGGGCGCGTCTCTAGGCTGCTTCCGGAGCTACGGGACGCTCTCCGTTGCCTACCAGCCCTTCTTCCTTGGGCTCCCTGCCGTGGGGTACACCCACTTCCTCCTGCAAATTACGCCTCGCAACTCTTCTCTCCCTTTCCTCTCGCTCCAAAAAGATCGCCATCGTATCCCGCCGATTCGGGCTTCCAGCCACGCTGTGATCCACTAGTGAGGTTGCCATCTCGGATGGAGGCATCGCAGTCTCCCTCTCTTGCTCGCTTTGAACTTCGCGCGGACCAAAATAAAAAGATCGCCCGCCATCATGTTTGGAGCTGCCACTTCCGCGTTTGGAGCTCCAAATGGCGGCGGCACTCCAAACACGGAAGCGGCAGCTCCAAACGTGGCAGCGGAATGGGCAGAAGGGAAAGCAACAGCGGCGGGTGCCAAAGGTGTCTGCAGCAAAGGTGGGAGTAGGGAGCTCTCTGTGCTTGGCCATGATCGCCCGTTAGGAGCGGCTGGTGGCGAGGAATTCCGGCCCGCCGGGCGCTCCTAACGGCAAGTCTCCCCGCCCTTCCCCCTTATTTTGCATATTTTAAAATAGGCCTAAATTTGGGGGGAGGGGCTTAATTTGATTTTATGCCCAAAAAACATGCTGGGCCTTCCTATTGGTGGAGGCCGTATTGTTGGAGAAACACGGTAGTAGCAAAACAATTCAAATAATTGTCAGATTTTAATATCTTCACAAAGGTCAACATAATGCCAGATTATGTGACACATGAAAACTAATGATGCATACCTTCCATCTTCTTTTAATACATCACTGTACTTGGGTGCAGAGACACGAACATTGAATGGATCAGAATTGTCATCTATGTGAAGAGCCTCAGCAAACCGTCTAATAATAAATAAATATTTAATGTTATCCAGTTTATCAACAGTCAAATCCCAATTTTTAATTTACTGTAAGAGATTATCTATTTCCTTCCAGTCACACACACTTCACATATTGTTTATTGCATTAAAATCAATAAAGCAATTTACCTACCTGTTTCTTTCAAGAGCCAAGCATTCTTCATCACACTGCAACCTAAATGAACAAGACACAGACGTACGATAAACGTTTATTTGAAAATGCTACTGCATTTATGCACAAAGAAAGAATATTTCACAGAACAGGAACTTAAATTTATCATGTCTGCAACAACACTATGCCAGACAGAAATGCAATTGATAATCTCAGGTTAGCAACAATAGTGGATTAAACAGACTGGAATATTACACAATAAATTCTGCAGGCATGCCTCCAAGTCAAAATTGCTAAAGAATCACATTATTAAAAGTCTGTCTTTCCATTTCAAATACAAAGGTGGTATAACAATTTCAATTTTACATAATGAACCAAAATCAGTTAAAACAACCAATAAATTGCATCCACCAACTAAAATGTAACTAATATATACTATCGCAAACAACATAAAAACCAAATTCTAGCTGAATTTAAAAACTATCCCCCAACTGATTCATGATTTTGTACCTTGTTTGCTTCATTTCTTTTTTGGTAATCAATCTACTTATCTCTACTGAATCTCCAAGTTGTGGATCTGTTAACTTAGAGGCAATCGATATTGCAGCTATTCTGAAAAAAATAATAAAGAGAATATTTTATATACAGAAACATATGCTATTCTTTTAAAAAGCTACAGAAATTCATGTATGAATGTGCTAAGGAGACGGTGAGAATGTATACTGAAATTTCAGAAATCTTTGCCATTTTGGACTGAATTATTGCTTTAATCAGAGGCAGTGAAATAATATAGCCTATGAATGCAACTTTGGCATCAATTCTGCAATCTGAAAAACTTAAACAAGTGTCTAGTACATGCACTTATCTTAACTACACTATTATATTACTTTGTCTTAACAGGTTTTTGTGTTAAATTTCAAGAATATCAGAACTTAAATTTCCCCCCCCTGAAACTGTAATTTAAAAATTAGATAACACTCTCCTTTATATTTAGCCAATTTTTCAAAGATTTGCTATTAAGATCATACATAGAGATGTAAAGAGATGTTTTCTGGTGGGCTCTCTGTTAATCCAGACTGAGTCCCTAGTTATAGTCTGCTGAATTAACAACATCAGTAGAATTAATTTATTCTCTCACCTGCCCCCCTCCCCCTGGCTTATGAGGAATGAGTGATGGGAATTCTACTTTCGTAAGACTAGCTACAGCCTATTATGTAGAGAATGAATAATATAAAGTATTAAATATTGGCAACTTCATACAGAGCCAAAATTATCTCTGGCACTAGAAACATCAGCCTGCTGCTGTAGAATGTTAAATATCTCCCAGAAGATATGCATGTGCATGCAGTATATATTACATAGCCATCCAATTTGCAGCGAGAAAACTCATTACAGACATGTTGAATATGAACCAAGGGAGTAGAATTAGTTGAACAGGAATACTGTTCATGACAGCTAGATTAATTGATACTATATGAATACATTCAGAAGAAAATGAAATCACAGCTACACAAGATTTTTTAATTCTTCTACTTCTGTGCAATAAAAAATGCAGGTCATTGCCTTAACAGACCTTTGATAAGTACTTGCTGCTTCTGAGCAAATCATAGACTCTTTTTTCCTTCCACATTCACACTGAAGCTCAACCTATAACATCAGAAAAACAGTAATTAGTATCACAGAAATTTAACATCGTAATTGCTAAGCAACAACAAAGGGCACATTTACTTACTGGAATGAAATGGACTCTTGTTCATTTCAAGACAGCTTAATTTCCTTATGTCACAATTATGACACTAAACAATTCTGATTATTTGCTAAAATTTAAACTGAGTGGAATAGAGGAGTTTTAAGGTAAAATCTATGAGATATTATGCATCTTAATCACTTTGCAATAAAAAAGACTTAACAATCTGCATTACCAGAAGTGTTGCGAGAGATATGTCCAGAGACCTGTACTTTGGAGAGTGCTTCAGACCTCTCTACTCTACGCTTCTTTTTACGCCTACATGAAACCACTGAGGAAAGCCAAAGCAAGCCATCAGGAATATTTCGGCAATACCCAACTACAGTATATATCATGGTCCCAGGCCAAAGGTTCTACAATAGAGCTATTATCTGTGTGCCCAGAAGCCATTAGAATCTGAATCGGAAAGTAGAGACTGAGATTTAATCCCTTCAAGACAGAGAATCTTTGAGGTTGTGGCTAAAATATTTTATTTATTTATTTTTTATTTATGAAATTCGTTTGCTGTCCATCTTGCTGTGAGGTGATTCTGGGCGGCTTACAACAGTAAAAGCAATGAAACCAAAGAGACATATATATCTAACTCCAATAGAAATACAAATTCTAGGGACTTCCGGCTGATGTCTCAGCGAGATCGGATGTGAGGAGTGGGTCTCCACTCTCCTGTGTAGAGTTCTGCCCGTTGGAGGGCTCTAAAATCGAAGTATTAAAATGGACAAGAGATGATGGATAGAAAGGAATTTTTTCTTTTCTTTTTTTCTAATATAATGATGGCCTGATTAAAAACTAGAATAGAGGTAGAAATAAGAATATATGCCTTTATATAATATATAGTTAGATGGAAAGATTGGAGGTTGAAAGATGGTATTATTAGGTATGTTTAAATACTAGAATGATTGGTACTAGAATGGGGTACTGTGACTTTGAATAATCAAATAATGAAGGACCATGACTTAATATAAACATGTGTATTAACACTAGGATTAGTAATGGTGGTCTGATAGAAGCTAGAATAGAGGTAGAAATAAGAAATAGGGGGAATATTAGCAGATATAATTTTTATATAATAGAATATAAGTAAGAATTAGATGGAAAGATTAGAGGTTGAAAGATGGTATTACTATGTTCGCTTAATAATAGCATTGGCAATAAAATGGAACAATGAAATACTGAATAACTACTCTAAAACAAACATGTATATCAATACTAGGATTGTATAAGTTTGATTAATGTAACAACTATTATTACTATTATAGCTGTTTGTATCAAAATGAATTATACCCAGATGCCACATTGTTCACGTATTGATATTGATGTATATTTAAAAATAATAATCTAGTAAAACTTAAAAAAATACTAATTCCAGGGGAAGATCATCTTTGATTTCCCCATTCAGAGGTAGTTTGCAATTGAGCCTTCCCCCAATGCATAGGTCCTATTCTATCAGTAGGTGATTGTTGTGGCCAGGAGTTTTGTCTGGTTATATCTTGAGAGCCATTTGCAGCCATTCCTGGACTGATTAAAACATGAGTGCCTTAATCACTTCCCACCTAAATTAATGGAACAAGCTCTCTACAGGTTGCTTTTAGAAAGTATTCAGAAGCTATGGGTAGCACAAAATATCACAGCCTAGGTATTTTGGGGTATGAGTACATCGCAACTGACTTGAATGACCCTACTGCTTTGGGAACTACATCCGTTTCCAGTTGGCTTCTGGATGCCAGCTGTCACTTTTAGACCCTTATAAAATTGTGAGTTGGGTTATTTATGGGAGCATATTTTCATATATTCACCTACCCATTCAATCAAGTTGAAAAAGGTAAAAACCCTGCAGGTCCTGTTTGAAAATGCTATCAAATTGGGTTTAGTAATTGGCTTTTTTTTAATCACCACTTCCTACTTTGGAATTCCCTCTGCACAAAGATCTGATCTGACAGTGTCTAAAGTAAATAAACTACGGAAAAGGTGGCCTAGGTAGCTTGGATGTCAACTTTCTTAGGCTACCTTAGATCATTTGGACAGTTTAAGCCCAAGATCAATCTACTTTTATATATCAATTAAATAAAACATTACAAAATCTTAGGATGAAGGAAAAACTTCAATGAGATTTTTGGAAATTAGTATAGCATTTTTAGATAAATAAACAATACAATTTGAAACCAAGAAATACACATATTTCAAATATTTCAGCAAAAAATGTAGCAAAGCAGTATTTATTTGAAATATTGTACTTAAGTTATTTGCTGAAGTGGCATCTGTGCTTGCTTGAAAGGTAATGAATTGTCACAGCCACCTACCTTCGAACGGCAAGGAGTTGTAGGACAAGGTAAGGATGGATGGCATGGAGACATACATGGATGATTACAGTGAAGTCTAAGAATAGTGCATGGCTGTCTGCACTCTTCATCTATGAGGCACTCCCCCTTGTGACAGATCCTTTTACATTTGTGCATTCCACATTTTAACATTCGATCACAGGAAAGACCACAAGAAATATCAGTGAGGTAACAAGGAATATTGCTCCTTAGCTAGATTAGAAAGAAAAAAACAGAGAGATGGATGCCACCTATGTTAGAAAGGAAGTAGTTTAACATGCTCCTTTTTAAAAATATGGAGATATATACCATTATTGCCAACTCTCTGGCAGTCATACTAGAAGGATATATACCCAACCCAAGTATGCTGAATTTGTTCATCACAAATTACTTGAAATTTCAGATTACTTCTTTATAGTGAGATTTGCTGCAGCCAGATAAATTCATCTGTTTTTTCTTTTCTTTTGTTTTATTACATCAAAGACAATAATAAAATAAACCTATCTAAAAAGTTTTGTGCAGAGCTGTGCACAGAGTTGTTCACAAACAATTCAAACTTGTTATTGTGTACCTCTAGAAAAGAAGTAGGATAATGCTATTTGGTGAAAGTAAAAAAATTATTACATTGGTAGTTTCATTTACTATTTGAGACTATATTAGGTTAGGTTTTAATTGTACAGCCAATTAAATACATTCAAATGGTTTTTTGTTGTTTATACCTGACATATTAATTATAGCTCCTTTCAAAATTAACTATGAAATATTTTACTTTCATCATTACTTAACTTTACAAAACAATTAAGTTTTTATAAATTGTACAATTTTCAGGAAGAAATTAGGAATGAAAAATTTGCCTGGAAATTTTCTCTCCATATCACAAGGCATATATTAGAAAAAAGGAAAAATAAGGTAATAAAATTTATCCCTAACAAAGGTAAATACCATATTCACTTACTTCATGTCTTCCCATACACCATTTCTGAACAAGGTATGTACATGGTGGACATTTCTCTTCATTATGACAGGAATGATATACTATATATACAGAAAAAAGAAAAATAAATACAGGAATGCTCTCCAGTAACACCTAATGCGTATGTTATTTCAGCATTATATTTCCATGTTCTACTATTGAAGTATGAGTGTAAACCAATTTTATGTTTGAATTTACTGTATTAAAAACTTCACGAAGGTATGAAGTTGCAATCCCATCCAAACTGTTTCTTTTTTAATTAAGGTAGCAACTATTCTAACATTTGAAAAATAGTCGGAAATCCTTTACAACAATAACCTTTATAAAGCTAAACAAACATGTCCAGGTATCCAAATGTTAAGTATAACAAATTAATCATAATGTACATATTATCTGTCAGGTATTAAAGAAAAATAAAAACATTCAGAGCCATATGTATCCTAAAACAAAACAAAATTGAAAACAACCTGCTACACTTGATCTTGATCCAAACAGCAAAAAATGGTAGCCCTTTATTAATAAGCAAAATCTAAGCTGGGATTTCAGAACAGGCTTAATTTCTCTAACTGGAAATTGTAAATTTGTTTTAAATTAGAACATGCTCTGTGGCTTCTCCAAAAGACATTAGTTGGAAAAGGCACTTCCACTTTTCTGTCAGCAGTTCTTCCATTTCTAGTAAAACATCTAACACAATGCCCATATCTAGTCTTATCAAGTTGCACTGATTTGTACAATGGTTTGTTCAATAATCTGTGATAAGACTTGTGCAGCTGAAATTAAACTACTGCACACAACACTCACACACAGATGAAAATGGGGCTAATAGAAGCTTTCTGGTAGCAGAATAGCAGCACTGGTTATAGATTGTGATTTCAAAGACAATTTCAATGCAATAGCTCTATCCTAGAATGTTACTCTAGTATTTCTGAAATCATCCAACCACATTATTTTGTTCCCTACACCATACATATTAATATTTTTTGTACCTTTTAACAAATAAAAAAGAGTTTAAATGTATACTTTACCTGGATGATCACATTCATGAGGCCTGGTACACGAATTTTTACATTCTGGTGGTCGAGTACCACAAGGTACTGGGGGATAAATCACTGATCCACCACAATAACAAGTTAATTCCTCAAAACCTAGAGGAAAACAAAGGTAAAATAAATTATTTCTCAATATTAACAGGCATATGCAGTATAGGTAGTCCTCGACAATTGAGCCCAAAATTTCTGTTGTTAAATGAGTAAAATTTCTGTTTGTTGAGTGAGTTTTGACTCATTTTATGACATTTCTTGCAACAGTTGTTAAGTGAATCAGTGAGGTTGTTACGTTAGTAAGCTGGTTTATAAGTGAATCTGGCTTCCCCACTGACTTTGCTTGTCAGAAGATTGCAAACAATCACATGACTGCAGGACTCAACAACCGTCATAAATATGAATCAGTTGCCAAGCATCTGAATTTTGATCACATGACCATGAGGATGCTGCAAGGGTTGTAGCTGTGAAAAATGGTCATAAATCATTTTATGAAGTATCACTGTAACTTTGAATGGTCACTCAATGAACTGTTGTAAGTCGAGGACTACCTGTACTTATGATGTAATGCTGTAGTGGTGCAGTGGTTAGAGTACAATATTGCAGGCTAACTCTACCCATTGCCAGGAGTTCGATCCTGATCAGCTCAAGGTTGACTCATCCTTTCATCCTTCCGAGGTCAATAAAATGAGGACCAAGATTGTTGGAGGCAATATGCTGACTCTGTAAACTGCTTAGAGAGGGCTATAAAGTGTGAAGGGGTATATAAGCCTAAGTGCTATTGCTATTGCTAGTGGTATGTGATATCCAAAACATGGTTTGGAAAGAATAGTGCAAAAATAGTACCACCTGCTCCTTGCTCCTCCCCCACATTGTTCAGTTAGTGTCAAATCTAAGTTGAAATAGATTTAGAAAATAATTAGGAATCATGAATATGTGCAGTTGTACATTCAGTAAAAACTCAAGCACTATGCAAAGAAAGAGTAGTCTTGCAATCAACCATTATTAAAACAGTCTGTGTTCTGAGAAGGCTTTGCAATAAATGGCATTCTAACTTAAAGTATTTTTATGGGTATAATAGTGAGCAAGACTACAATCTAAATGTAATAGGGGATGACAGTGCGTTCAATAAGAAAATTCCCATTGAAACAAACCATAAATAGCAGGCACCTAAAATAAATAGATGCCTAAAGCAAATGTCACAGGGCTTAGTCACTAACCTTCATTGGATTATGTATGAAGTACTGAATCATCAAAAGTATGTTACTTTAAACAAAGCATTATATACTGACAAACTACAGGCAATCATGATGAATGCTTACTGGTCTGCCAACACTTTTGACAATTGCCACGGTGACAAGGTTCCTCACATCTGTGGATACCACAATTCAGTTTACGTCCACAAATCAAAGAGCACTTGTGCTCTTTATCCTAAAAAATAAAATAACATGATCAGGAACTTAAAAAATGACAATTAGAAGTCTTCATTAGGCATAGAAATTCTAAATCAATACACAGTCAAAAGCATTAGCATATAACTTTCTGCTCCCAGTAATGATAGGTGAATAGTAGTATAGAATGAAAATTTGGAATAATATACTGATTTTTTTATCCTTTCAAAATAAATTTCTAGCCCTGCAAGCACATTGTTTTGCCCAGTATCAAAAGGAAAAAAGCAAGTGCCAGAAAGCCTTTATATAGAACCTTCAACACTTTGAGGAAGCCTTCTTTAGCTATCATGTCCTTCATATCAGAAACTGAAAACTATTGAACAGCGGCTCCAAAGGATGCTTTAATTCATACGGAAAGAGATGTAACACAGACAATCCTTCAGATTCTCTTAGACCAGTAAGAATTGCCAGAGCCTGAATTAGATTTTCGATGAGAGCGCGCTTTCAAGAACAGGAAGATGAAACAGTCACTAAACGATCTTGTACAGACTAATTTTCAGTATATTTATCTTAATACTGACCATTACAACAAAGGACAGATTATGGAAGAAATCATCAGGTGAGCCAGACAAGGTGTGGATTAAACCTAATTTGGGGCAATATTATGTTGTAGTAATTGAAAATGTTTACTTATGCATCTCCAGGCCATTATATAAATAGGCCAGAACTACATTTCTGTACTGTGTAGCATTTCCAATTCCAAAATGCTGGAGAGAACAAAGCAGCCAATGGCTTACTGTGAGAAGTTTGTAACAATTTTTTATTGATAGTCATCCAAATTTATCTTAACTTGGAATTTAATCTGAGGCAGAACATGATAATCTAACTGTGGAAACCATAAACCTTGTTGACCTGGCTTTTTTTCAGTTTGTGAACGTGAGGCATATGGCTCAAGTCTGGTGTGATTAATGCTGCCATGTTTACCTGTTCACTGCCCCTCCAAGCTGATTAAATGAATTAGAGAATTGGGACTATGATTAAAGAAGGTATTAATGCTTTTCTGTATCTTTCCCCATGAAAAAGCGGCAGTGAGAAGACCAATATTATATGCCTTCCCTTGATTCAGAGTGAAACAATCAGTTGATCTCAAATGTCGAAGATATTATTGCTAATTACAGTCTTCCAGAAAATGATAGACATCTGAAGACACATCTGAAAGATGGTGATTATGTGCATCTATTTCACTTGTATTTTTAGCTAAGATATGGGACTGAAATTGCTCTGATCAATTTCACTGATGTATGGAAAAAACCAAATGGGATAACTGCAACCTATCTCTTGAAGTCCCTAATGCTATTATTACCACATTGTGATAACCTTGTTTATCACTTTACAGAACTAGAAATTGGCACCCTTATTTTATGGTGATAGTTCCAGACTTACATGTTGGATTGTGGCCACGAGTCATTTCTTCAGTGAAAGAAGAAAAGGGGGGGGGAAGCTGATAAAGAAATCCTTTCTTGATGTAACCTGAATATATTTAATCTTATATCGAATTTGTATAACCCACACATGATACAATGGAGGGAGAAAAGCCAGATGGCCAGAACTATCACCTCTGAGAGGCACAGCCAGGAGATGAGAAGATCATAAAAATTCCACAGTGAGATGTGCCCTGGGAATCTCTTGAAAAGTTCATTCTAAAAAGGGGGTGGGGGGAAATTAGGTATGCTCTGGGAAACTGTGAAAAAGATCGTTCCTTACAAAAGAGGTGGGGAGGAATTAACATACTGGCTTTTGTTTCACTAAATACACATCGAGATAAGGGGAGGGGTTCTAAACTCCCTTATGTACCCCTGTATGCCTGAGAGACCTCAGACGCTGCTTTGAACTCCTACATGAATTGTCTCATCTCAATAAAGGATTCCTTTTTGATACGTTTTCAGAAGTTCATTCTAGTTGAGTGAATGGGAAAAGTTCTGTAGCCTGACAACTAGTTCAGTATCAGTATGAACCATTATGAGAATTTATCTGGAATTTTGAAGTAAGCTATGCAGACAGACTTAAACAAAGGATTCATTTGACTGATGTTTAAGTATGGTAATAGGCTCAATAATGAAGAACAAAACAGATGCAATGTTTATTAGGAAATCAGAGTCGAGGACTGAAATTTACAAGGTTCTGGGTAGCATCGTGCCTCCTCCGCCACAAAAGAGTAGAATTGCCATTAAGAAGTGCTCCTTGATCCTAGTTGTTCTGGATTTCCAGTTGGCGGAACTGGCAAGAAATGTGTCTGAACACTTACATCTATGGTACTAGTTACCATTACAGATAGTCCTCATTTGGCAACCACAATTGGGCCCAGCAACTCCATTGCTAAGGGAAGTGGTTGCTAAGTGGGAAATCATGTGACTGCAATTATGCTTTCCTTTTCCTTACTCCTATGCCTTCAGAATGTTCACCCAGAAGAACTGGACTGGCTGGTTAGAAACTGACAAGACAAAACAGTTTCATATTTTCTGCTTTTTTAAAAAAAATATTTTAATTGAAATTTAAAAACAAACAAATAAAAAAACTAATACAAACTAACTGCATTCCCCATTGTGTGCTAATAATTTTATCAGGGTGGGCGAGAGGTAAGTCAAGCACAGTATAATTACTTATAAAAATTGTTGGGGTTTTTTCAACCATGCTCCACTCTCCAAGTGGAGAAATTGGAAAGCAAAAGATTGACTATAGGTAGTCCTCAATTTATGACCAGTTGCTTAGTGACAGGTCAAAGCTATGACCAGCCCAAAAAGGGGACGTATGACTTGTATTTGAAGTTGTTGGTTTAGGCAAACTTTTGGAACTTGGCAACATAGCCACAATAATGGCTGTTTACAGCATCCAGTCATGTGACCACATTTACAATTGTTTTGCCAAAAACTTAACATTTCCATTTTGGGGCACAACTGTGTCCATAGAAAACCACTGAATTTGCTTAACAACTACTACGGCAACTGCCACAAAAAAGGTAATTAAATCACACATTTTATGACCGTTATGACATACTACCATAATGGGAAGGCTCTGTTATGGCCCTATGTCAAGGACTACCTGCAAGTAGACATAGAGTGGGTTAAACTGTTTGCATTCACAGCGTTGGCACCAATGCAGTGCTTTCAATGTGTATGCCCCATTGTGACTCTGTTTCCTCTCTTGCAAGCCCTTCCTTTGCTACCTCTCAAGGGGAGGGAGAAACAACAGATTAGGCATAGGACAACACATATTACTGTAATGATAATCACATGACTGAGGAACACTGTGAAAGTCATAAATGTTGGCATTAGTTGTAAAGTTATTTTTCAGCATCGTTGTAAATGATTGCTGAGCAAGGCACTCAGTTAACAAGGACTACCTGTACTAAGATTGTCAACTTTGATGACATACATTTGTTATTGTCAGGTCCAAGTCTAAAAACTACAAAGCGAGATCCAATTGAGTCCAATCCTTTATTTGCTTATATGTAATGGACAGACCAAGGATGCAATGGCTCAGTGGCTAAGACGTTGAGCTTCGGCAGTTCGAATCCCTAGCACTGTCTAACGGAGTGAGCTCCCGTTACTTGTCCCAGCTTCTGCTAACCTAGCAGTTCGAAAACATGTAAAAATGCAAGTAGAAAAACAGGGACCACTTTGGTGGGAAGGTAACAGCGTTCTATGCGCCTTCTGCGTTTAGTCATGCCGGCCACATGACCCTGGAGACGTCTTCAGAAAGCACTGGCTCTTTGGCTTTGTAATGGAGATGAGCACCACCTCCTAGAGCCAGAAATGACTAGCATGTATATGCGAGGGAAAGCTTTACCTTTATAATGGACAAAATCTAGCCAAACTAAAGTTAAAACCTTGTAGCCTACTGGACATATCCTGAGAGATTCTAGGATATGGCTACCTTGAATTCTTCCCTCCTCTCCCATCTGGTTTTGGACTGTGCAGTTGCTTAACCTGGGCCTGCCTAAACAGTAAAGCTAGGAAGGACCTCTGAAAATCTGTGCTTGATCCTACACTTTCTGATTTTAGGAAAAGAATAGAATTAATAGAATTTCCTGAATAGAATTAATGAATAGTAACATTAAATATTTCTATTTGAACAATGCAATTGTTTATGTCTTGTTTTTTTGCCAGTAATCTTGACTAGCCACTTGATAAAAATCAGAAGTCAAAATATACTCATGAATAACAACAATAAGGAAACTGTTTCCAACTCATGTTTTCAACCAATTCAGTTTCAGTCACTAAAAACTAAAAAATGATTTCTTCAACTGATTATTAGTGAAATTCAGGATGATTATGCATTCTGATTATTGGTCAATCTTGCTAACCACACAATTAAAATAACAGTGTAATTATACTGACACGGCTCCTTCTTTCACGCGTTCATGAACTTACCACACAGCATGTTTCATTACATTTGTGTCGTCCGCACGACAATTTTTTGTTGCATCTTTTGTCACATAAGAAAGGAACTTTAACTTTAAAACAAGAAAATGTTTCAATTATTATTATGAATTGATAGTTAATGTAATTTGAAATAACTGTTTTATGTTCTCTGTTATTAGATATTTTAGCCACTGCAAAACATTTATAATCAAAAGGAAGGAAAACAAATAACACTAGCTAACTTCAGAATTCAAAAAGCTTTTTAACAAAAAAATAATACTGAAAAATTACATTTCAATATATTTATTGTGTCGCTTATTCAAAATAGAACAGAAATAGAAAAACTGAAATTGATTAATGGTAATTAAAGGCAATTAGTCTGTACTTAAGAATAATCTGTGCATTTCATAAATGTGAAATAATTTTCTTCAGCTTCTATAAAAATGTGCAAAATATAATCTTGACGGGAATATGTTAACCATCTATGATATTATATTTATCTCCATCTTCTAATGGATATTCTTCATTTTTTAATCTTTTGTTCTCTTTTCTATATGACCTTCTGCTGTTCTAGGATCTCTAAACCCAAGGTAAATGTTGATGGTATACAGCAGGGGTGTCAAACTCAATTTCATTGAGGGCTGTGGTTGACCTCAGGGGGGGCATTGGGTACACCAGGCTGAAGCCACGCTGGCCCAATCTTTCCTTTTTGCATTGGGCCGAAGCCACACTGGGCTGAAGCCACACTGGCCTGATCTTTCCCCTTCGCACTGGGTAGACCAGAATGGCTCCTCAGGCCGGATCCAAGACATTGTGGGCTAGATTCAGCCCACGGGCCTTGAGTTTGACACCCCTGTTCTAATAGAAAGTAGACATCACTAGCTAAAACCCAATTTTTTAAAAAACATATCATAGCATAACATATTCAATAAGCTCTGGCTTTCCAACTATTCGTGGTATATCAAAATAGTAATATCAACTATTCACATACTTTGTGTGTGTGTGTGTATATATATATATATATATATGTATGTATGTATGTATGTATATGTGTGTGTGTGTGTGTGTGCTTTTTAACATTAGAAAAAAGTTGACAAGTGAAAGTGGGCCTTAAACTGTTAATGGCCAGTAGCCAAATGCTTCTGTCTAATATTTATTATATGCCAGTATATGATGTTAAGATTATTTACCTTGATTTTTGAGAGAGGCACATGGAACTTCCTAAAAGGAAATTAAATTGTAAATATCTATACTATCATTCTGACATTTAAGGAAGATAAAGCAGTATGTTGCAACATGTACTTCACAATCTTATTGTTTGCAGAGAACAAAAGGTATTCTTTACAGCCAGCTTAGCAGTTGAAAAATTCCCCTTATGTTAAAAAATGTTACTGATTCTACATGGAGTCAGCTAAGTTTTGGAAATAGGAAAGTATGCATTTTCTTCGCTGAATTGAAATTAAACTCACATCTAGAAATCTGAGAAATAGAAGATCCTATTGGAATAATGACTTACAGATTAAATATGCCACATACAGTGGATATGTAAGTTTACACCGCTGTTAAAATACCCAGTTTTCGAGATGTAAAAAAAATCAGACCAAGATAGGTCACTTCAGAATTGTATCCACCTTTAATTGTACATATAAGCTGTACAATTCAGTTGAAAAAAACTGAAATCTTTTAGAGGGAAAATAACAATTAAAAATGAATGATTTGACTGCATGAATATCCACATGTGACTATGTTCAGAATCAATCAGATTGTAGTTTCCCCGAAAAGAAGACCTAGTATTTTTTTACCCATGTACCTAATATAAGCTCTGCCCCCAAAATAAGTCCTACTTAAGAACCTACACAGCTGGCCAGCTGCCCATTCTGTCTTTGTTGCTCGCGATGCCGCAGCCACGAGGCGAGGTGGAGCCACCCCAAGAGCTCCACACCGGATTACCTCAGGGTTCCCTCAACCAGACCATCCATGCCCTGACAACTGCCTCATGACAGAAGCAACAACCATGTATAGTAGAAGCCCACATGGCCGCTAGCCCACTGCTTCTGCAATGAAGTAGGAGGCCAAGTGGTATGCTAGTTCCACGGCCATGACGCAAGTGTCGGGGTGTGGATGGCCAGGCTGTGGGGGCTCTGAGTTAAGCTGGTGCAGGGGTGCATGGGGCAGTTTCATCGCCCACCTTGCCTCATGGCCATGGCACCGGCGCATCGTTCTGTCTCCTGATCGCTTGCGGCCGCGAGCAAGCAGAAGTGGGCCAGTGGCCACACGGAATCCTGCTGGATGGGGCTGCCAGAGCCGCCGTCATGAGGTGAGGCAGGTGTCGAGGCATGTATAGCCTGGCTGAAGGGCCCTGAGGTAAGCCGGTACTGGGGGTGTGGGGCAGCTCCACCCACCACCTCATGGTGACAGCATTGGCATCCCACATGGCCTCTTGCCCCACCATAAGCAAGGAGAAGAAGTGGGACTCCCGCATGTTATTGTAAGTTTTTTATTGTTATTGTCCATTGTGATTTCCCCCCTAAATGATTTCACTTTGTATTCAACTGTATTGTACAGTTTATATATTAAAGGTGGAAAGTGATTTATCTGGTCTGATTTTTTTTTTAACATCTCAAAAACTTGGCATTTTAAGAGGGTGTTTTAAGAGACTTTCTATATCCACTGCATATCCTGGAGTTCAATTCTGATGGGGCTCAATGTTGACTGAGCCTTCCATCCTTACGAGGTTGATAAAGTGAGCACCCAGTTTGTTGGGGGCAATATGCTGACATTGTAAACTGCCCAGAGTGCGCTGTAAAGAACTACGGGGCAATGTATAAATGCTCTTGCCAACAGTCTTTGATGCTATGGGTTAATTTTGTTTGTTTTATTGACTGTATTTTCATTGGTCAATGACCCAAATAAAGTTTCTATTTACTTTTATCAGTTATCAAGATACAAAAATACAAGGGAAATCTTAATTTAGCAAACCCCTAATTAAGAACCTTAAGATGTAACATTTTCATTTCAATATTGTCCCATAATAGATACATTGAATACAATGTGGTTTAGACAAGGAGCTTAAAAATAAAATGAAACTTAGCCGACAATTATCTCATTTGTGGCAATTTGTATAATTTGTGAAATGATATTAAATGAAATTATGCAAATTGCCATAATGATGTAATTTTAAATTTAGAAAATTTGGAAAAATGGATGCTCTCTTTCCAAAAATGATCCATTAAATATACATACACTTAGCCTTTTGGACCAAATTGTTAAACAGTATTGTGATAATAATTGGAAAAGTAATTAATGTTTCATAAATATATTGAAGAAGACACAAAACACAAAAGATTTCACAGGACAAGATTAAAGAATAATCTCATAGGGGAAACAGACAGGCATAGCAGATTTTATTATCTGCATTTGTTTCAGTTTCAACATTTTGCTTTTTAATTATTACCTTTAATTTTAAGGCACATCTGCAGTAGACCTTTGATGTGCGAGAACACTGCCCACATTCGCCTTCATGGCAAAGATTTTCACATGTATGCACAGCATCTATGTAAAATTTGAGAAGCATTTTGAACGTAAGTTTTAGTGTTCTAGGATAATCCAACTGTGATTTTTATTATTAATCAATAGGCACAACTAAGCCAATTTAGACCTTTTTTTAAAAAACCAAATGCACTGCTTTCAGAACCAATCTTGAAATCCAGTTTTTTAATTATGTATATAGATAACAAAAGATGTTGTGAGGCAGGTTAGGAAGATAACACCCTACTACATGTAGTCCTCAATCTAAGACAATTGAGACCACAATTTCTGTCACTAAGTAATGTGGTCATAAAGCGTGACATCACTTGACTACATTGATTAGTGATGACAATTCCGGCATACACTATTTTAAGTACTGTATTTTTTGCATTATAAGACGCTCCAGACTATAAGATGCACCTAGCTTTTGGGGAGGAAAACAAGAAAAAAAAAATCTGCTTCTGCCTCCCAGCAATTTGCCTCCTTGCAGCAAACAGCAAACAGCCTGGTCAGTTTCAGCACAGCCTGATTTAGCATGAGCAACTGACTGGCGGTTGGATCGGCCTCCCGGAATACCGTGGATCAGCTGTTCCAGGTTGCGGGGATCGTTGCTGCCCATCGCCACTGTCGCTCCCCGCTGGAACAGGCCAAAAACGGGGCACGTGGAGGCCGAAAATAGGACATGCAGAGGCCAAAAGTAGGGTGCACGGAGGTCAAAAACGGGGCATGTAGAGGTGGTAATGAATGGCAGCAGTGATGGGTGGCAGCGATCACTGCAGCCTGAAACAACTGATTGGTGGTATTCCGGGAGGCTGATCCAACTGCCAATCAACTGCTCGTGCTAAATCAGGCTATGCTGAAGCCGACCAGCCTGTTTGCTGTTTGCTGCAAGGAGGCAAATTGCTGGGAGGCAGAGGCCAAAGGGTGGGGGCTGGTGGGTGGACGGGGCTTCAGCAACATTCACTCTATAAGACGCACAGACATTTCCAGCCACTTTTTTTTTTGGGGGGGGGGGGTGTCTTATAGTGCGAAAAATATGGTACATTTTTTATTCGTATTATATTTCTCAGGAATTTTCTGAAAAGCAAAATCTGGTCTGTATAGCATGCATTACCTGTGTTTCACACTGCAGCATCCCCCAAACTCATGCACAATCTGCATTAGGCATCCCAGGGCCTCCCCCATACCTGAAACACTCCTGAAACCTTTATATGGGACTCTGCTTAACAATCTGCAAAATCACTTAACAACCCCTATCAGGAAAGCTGGGGTTGTGATTGTTGACTTTGCTCTACAACTAACATTCTGGTTTCAATTGGGGACACATGTTAAGGATTACCTTTATGTTTTCTTCATCCATAGTCTCTTTCACTTCTTCATTCCAGGAGTGTGAATTCATACTTCGCACACACTTTTGAACATTCTGTAACTTATGCCATCTGTTCTACATCTTTTCTTATGCCCATTTCACATCAATTGTGCTGGAAGTTTAATCTATTTATACTTTTTGATAAATAATTTGTAACCTTCTGCAGTCATTCTTTGTTCATTCTACTTTCTTTCTTTTCTTCTACGTCTATTTTCCCATGACCTACTCCTTACACTATTAAAAAAAAAGTCTGTCCCAGAATATTCAGTTGTTTTTACTGATTCTTTCAATCTTCCATTATAAACAAATCAACCATAAACATCATTTTTTTATCCATCATTCTCTCAAAATGTCTGTTTTTCTAAACTAAAATTTATCATTATGGAAATGAGTTATTTTTGTTCAAAATTATGCTTTTAGTATTTCATTTTGCAAATGTGATAATTAAAGCACAATACATTTTTAAATATAGAAGCAAGCAATGTTGAATTACCATAGCTACTACAAGGTAAAGGTTTTCCACATGTTCTTCCACACGATGGGATAGGATCTGTGCAGAGTTTACGTTCCATACACCCCAACTCTAGTAATTTACTAAGAGAAGTCTGTCCACAAGGACAACAGTGCACTATTTGTGGAAGCCGTGGACAGGGCTGACAGGGCTGGGGATGGCATACTTGTTCACAATTATGCATTCCACAGGATAATTTTCTGAAATTAGAATTATAATTGGTTTGTAATGTTATATTGATAATAAAAATGGAAAAATATAGCAATAAAATATGTTAAATAAGCTATTTTCTTACTTCCCACAAGTTCTCAGGCATGAAAACCAATCTTCACTTGCTCCACATAACACTTCTCGAGAGGTGCTCCCACAGTAACATACTGAACAGAAAAACACATCACAGATGCTTAAGATGCATAAAGATGCTTAAGAAAAGGCATTTTTTCTGAGAAGAAGGAATTATTTCTTTAGAAATATAATACATATCGAGAACTAGTATTTGGGTCAGATAAAAAAATTAATACAAAATTAATGAAACCTATATTTTTCCTATATATTTAATAAGTATATGCTATTGAAAATTGTTTTCATCTTTTACCTAATGATTTTTCTATTTTTATTCTGAATGAGTACTTATGTAATAAAATATCTGTGAACTACTTTATGCCCATAATTGATCCAGAAAGAATTTTTACTATTTTTATTATTGTCAAGTAGACACTAAAGTCCCTTGTGAAGGATCTTTTTCACCCAGTCACTCTGAGAACAAAAACACTGCCTTCTAGAGAGACTCCATCCTACCTGGGGCAGAATCTCTCTAGCAAACAGCATTTTTGCTATCAAGCTGGGTGAAAAAAAAATCCCTCATGAAGGGACTTCTTCACCCGCCCCATTGACAAAAGTGTTTCCTGAAAAACTGATTTCACCTCACATAGGGTGGTCTCTCTCCAACTGGGCTGCAGAAAAAAAGTTTGAATCACAAAGATCTAAGCTTCTTTTCAAAGATCTTAACATTGAAGTTCCCTTCTGTGCACTGAGAGGGAATTCTTTGTCTCCCTTCAGCACGCATTTTCCTCTTTGTCCATTTTCTATCCATCCTGGGAAAGCCATAATACAGTTGTAAAGTTGAAAAAAGTCTTATGATGACTCATTTAATGACTACAACTACTTACGACCTAAATATCAGGCTGAATTGTGATCATCAATCAAAGACTACCTTTAATACCTAAAGAAATTAAGAGCTGGGCAATCCATTTTTAGATATGCTGAATTAAACTGTAAGCTATTATTATATTAAAACAAATAAAAAAGGGACTCATTGAATTATTGTATTACATAATTTAAATGCTCTACTATATATTTGGATGATAGGTAGTCCTCGACTTATAACCAATCACTTAGAGACAGTTTGAAGTTACAATAGACCTCCCCAAAGTAGTTAGGACCTAAAAGTACTTATTACGTTTACAAATATTTCAAAGTAGTAAATATATCTAATGTACCTTCTCCTCTGATTTTATCCGTAACAATCCAGTGAGGTGGGATGGGCTGAAAGAGAGTGACTGGCCCTAAGTCTATCAACTGGTTTTCAGGGCTAAGCCAGGATTTGAACTTACAATCTCCTGATTTTACATGGAAATTACAGACAAGCACAGTTCTTTTGTCAAAATTTCTCACCTACTACATATTGTATTTTTTCAACATAGTAATATTATTATCATTCTACCATCATAGCAATTCTATTTTCTAACGCAAACTGTGAAAGGCCATAGGAAAGCCCAGTGTTGTATTCTTCATTATGCATATATACCAGTGCGTACCTAGACCTAACCCTAGTAGAAAATTGATCCTAGAGAAACAGTAATTCTGTAAATCTCACACAAGTGGTACTTATAAATAAATTTTAAAAAATCATGAAATTCTTACCTTGTTTTACAGTCAATTCACATGGCAGGCATTTTCCAGAATGGCATATCTGGGTACAATTATGTTTACCACAATTCAAAACATTCCCACATATATTAGTACATTGAATTGCAGTAGAATACCCACAGCGAACTGAATGGCTGTAGAAGAAGAAAACTAAATCAGTCACCAGCAATGATGGATCAAATATTCACACTTGAACTGTTTACTCAAAGGTTTTTGTTTAATAAAAAGCTATTGATTAGTAGGGATGAAACTTACTGAAAATTTTGGTATTTGCTTTAGGGGTCTTGCTAAATTAAGGGGGGGGGTACAATTTCATAATACTGCAAACAATAGGGAATTTTATTTAAGCAGAAAAATTATTTCCACACAATAGGATCAACGTTTTGAACATAACATTTTTGCACCACTGGAAAGCTCAAACCCATTCTTTATTATTGTACTGTTGTAGCTACACATAGCATTTTATTCCAAAATTTAAGTTTAAATTAGTAGTTTTAAGAAAGGTAACTGTATTTATCTGCTGTTGCAGCTTAAAATAAAAATTAAACCATTTCCGTGAAGAACTCTGGTTCATGAAAAACTTTATAAAATATGAACTTTATAAAATCTAAGCTTTAACATGGTATAAGTTCTCTATTTTTAATTAATAATTTGGTTGGGAAAAACATTTATCTCCTCCCTTTCAGATGTACATTTTTCATTAAGCACAGATTAACTGTGTGTCCATATTCCAATATAACAAAAAATACAGAAATAAAGGCAAAAATATCTAAAATTTATCCCCTTTATTTTTTACATCGTTTGTGATCTGTAAAAAAACAGTATTATAAAATCCTCACTAATAATGGCCTGGATAGCAAGATGTAATGGTTGGGTTTACAGAACCTAAGTAATAAATTATGATTTATAAATCACAATGGCTGAGTTCACATATCATAAGTCAAAATCTAACAAAATAGCTTACCCATCACATCCAAATTCAGATTTCATCTAATCTAGAATTGTGCATAATAATGCTAAACCTTATATATTATACTGTAGACACATTAGAATAATATAACATTAGAAACCTAAATATTGCCTTGCAATATTAGCCATTCATTATTTTTCTAAGTTTGAATGAAAGGACATGGTTTTATTCCAAAGCCTAAAGAAAAAGTACTTTAAGAACCATAATTAAAAAAATAGGATTGTCAAATTTTGGCATTTTCAATCTCAACAGCATGTGAAAAAAATGTAATGATAAACCCATAGATTATCCTTCACTTCTCTAATTCTATCAAAATTATTTCTAAATGCTAAACTCTTCTGAAAATTTTTATTTTATGGAAAATTTTATTTTATGGAATTGATAGCAGGGGCACAATTAATCCTAGGAACTACTTGTGGTGTAAATCATAAAAGATCATGCTATTGCTAGGAAATCCAAGATACCAAGCATGTTTCAAAGAGTTGTACTGTAAAACCTTAAATATTATTCATTGTATCTGCAGAAAACATAAACATTTAATTCCATATCCTAAATATTAATTCCTTCTTATGAATTCCTCAAGGATTTTTTTTCCCAGCAGCAGTATTCTAATTTTGGTAACAGATTGACTGTCATTAAAAAGCACTGGCTGAAACCCAAATGAGGGAGGGCACTACACAAGCATATTCTAACTACGCATATTCATATGTTGTCTAGGAGACTAGACCCTTAGAAAGAACAAGGCAATTCCCCAAGAATAGATATGTTATGCTTAACATTTGTAATAGTCCAATGACACTTTAAAAAATAACTTATAAAAACCAAGGTTGCAAGTTTTCTAATGCACACTAAATTACCTTGTACGTCCACATTCACATTTTTTGGTCATAAAAGCAGGGCAGGATGGGCAAGGTCCTGGATGACAAAGTCTAAGAAACAAATAAAAGTTGTGCAGTATTTATACTTCATTTTTACCTAGCTGTGCTAACATATTTCCTATATAATTAACTTAATATTCTAATTTATTTCTGATTTAGAACCAATAGATGTTAATTCTGTACAAGTATAAGTTCTGCATGTTATGAAGAATAAACAATTAACATTTGTGTTAATATAACAAACTTGTTCTTATAATAACCTAGCTTAGCATGTTAGCTGCTACCTATTTATGTATGCATTTTATGCATAAATATACACAATTATATACACTTTTCTGATTCTTTGCTTAGGCTCGTATATTCAAGAAATTATGCAATTTCATAAGTGCTACAATGTAAAAAGGATAGAGAGACCAATGAAAAATAGGTAGATAGCAGCTGACATTCTAAGCTCGGTTCTTATAAGAACCAATTTATTGTAATAACTCAAATCTTGTGCCCAACGAATAAGATGACTGTGATGTCCCATATTATCTAAAACCCATATTCAAGCTGTAAAGAAATATTTTTCAAAAAATAAAAAAAGTATTCACAGACTTACATATTACATAAATGTGGACAATCTTGAGCTGATCTTTTCTTTCTACACAATTCTCCACAACTATGTGGTATTTCATTTCTATTCCATTCAGGATTTTTTACCCGGCCTAGGAAGAACCCAGAAATATTTATTTATAACATTTAAATGTTATGTTATGCTTTCCATAAAAATCAAATCACTATATATATATATACAGACTGGCTTCATGCAATATAGAAAGCTATAATGTGAACTGTAAGGCATATTTAGTGTACTATATGAACACACAAGTCTTAAAAATACAATGGATTCAACTCATATTGCATGATAATGGTAAGCTTGGTCAAGTTCCTAGAGATACCTTTTATCATTATATTTCCTTCTCTATTTCTATATTCAATATTTATTTTATATAAACTACCATTCAATAATGGGAAACAGAAATAATTGTACTTGTAACTACATTGTACGTCACCAGTTCACATTTTATGAGATGGGTGGTTATATAAATATGATAAATAAATTCAGCTTTTTGTTATTCTAACAAATTTAACCTACAGTATGTATCCTTTTTTCCATCACAGACCTTTAAAAATATACATGTCTTTAAAGAACCAAAAGAGTTAGATTAATAACTATTAGTACTTTACTATGAATCTTAATTCTATCTAATTTTATTCAACATATACTTTAAAACATGGAACTGAATGTTTCCATAGTGATAAGCTATATAGCAATGAAAACATGAGAGCATCTCTACTATATAAGACAGGTATATTTTATAAAGACTGTTACCAATACTGGCAAATGAACTGCAGGTAGTCCTCAACTTATGACAACTGAACCCAAAATTTCCTTTTGTTAAGTGAATTTGGCCCCATTTTACAACCTTTCTTGCCACAGTTGTTAAGGGAATCACTGCAATTATGTTAGTAACATGATTGTTAAGTGAATCTGGCTTCCCCACTGACTTTGCTTGTCAGAAGCTCCACAAAAGGTTATCACATGACCTTGGGACACAGTAACGGTCATAAATATGAACCAGTTGTCAAGTATCTGAATTTTGATCATGTGACCATGGGGATACTGCAATGGTTGTAAAGTGTGAAAAATGGTCATAAGTCACTTTTTTCAGTGCTGTTGTAACTTTGAATGGTCACAAAATTGTTTTAGTTGAGGATTACCTGTACTGGTAGTCCTTATATTATGATCACAATTGAGACTTGAATTTCCATTGTAAATCATTGAAGTAGTAAATTGAGTCAGACCTGATTTTATGACAATTTTTGGAGCAGTTGTTAAATGGTTCACATTATTGTTAAATGGGTGCCTTTTGCTACAAAGTGGCAAAAAAAGTTGCAAATTGAAATTACATGACCACAGGATGTTGAAACCATACAGCAAAACTAGTGCCTGAATTCCAATCACATGACTGCAGGAGGGGTTGCGATTGTCATAAGTGGGAGTACAGATTGTAACTTGATTTTCTGAGGCCATCACAACTTCAAACAGTTGCTAAATGAACAGTTATAAGTTGAGAATTACATACATACATACACACACATACACACATCACCACTTTATTTTACTATTCCAAAGGCAATCTTTTCATTTTTGTTAGTGGAAACCAATTGGAGAAAAAAACACATCAGATTTATATGTAAATAACTTTATAGTAATAGATACCAGAATAGTAGAGCATCTTACAAAAACATCAAAAGGATTTCTCATAAAAGTTTTATCTCTAAAATCCTAAAAGTACCATTCACTATAAAAATGTACATTAATTTGTCTTTTAGAGGTAGCCCATAACAAATGATCATGCAAAACAATCAGAAATACAAATGTTTTAAATACTATATATGCAACTTAAAAATCAATTGCAAATCTTTTTTTTTTTTTTTTTTTGCTCTCCAACTCTTAACCATTTATTAGCTTTAGAAAGGGTAAAAAGTTTGCCATTAGACTTGTTGAAAGCAACTATGTCAACACTGCACATACTGTAATCTTCAAATTTGGTAATCTCCTCTTCCAGGATATCTGTCCCAACTTTGTTATCCTCCACCACACACTGGATCTGGAGTTTCTTCATGCCGTAGCCCACCAGGACCAGTTTGGAAGCCCCCCAGAAAGGGAGGAAAATCAGGGGTCATATTTTAGGATTAAGTAACCCTGTTGTGAGCCAACTTTTTAAGCAACAATGCCTTTTGCAGAGCATGAACAATAGCTACATATGCTCAAGAAAACAAACCTGACCTTGCACAATTACCATGCAAGCCCAGAAGACATGACTCTTTTACCCTAGTTAAGCCAAATCTGAAGCAACTTTACTTGTTCCAGAAGCAAATACTACAAATTCTCTACTAATAATCTATTCCCTCTCGAGTTTCAATAACCTCAAATTGTTCAAGAAGACCGTACAGAGATTCTAACGAGTTATAAAAGAGAGAAGGGATGGATATTTTCCTTCCATTATTTTCTTATAAATCAAGCCTATATATCTAAACAGACCAGGCTTAAATGACCCATGACTAGGTATTTGCTTATGAGACCAAATTAGAAAAAACACTCACCACAAAAACAGGTATAAATACTAGGAACTTGTGATGAAACATTTTGACACGCAGGGCATCGCCAGCCACTGTTACCATCTAGAAAACAAGCAAACACCCATTCCCCAATTTAATTTTCCCAACTTATTTCAAGGTATATTTGATCACCTATTGTTTATTTTGTTTAGTTTTTTATCCCGCTATTTTTTTAATAACTCCATGTAGTGAACATACCTAATACTCCCTTCTACTCCTATTTCCCCCATAACAACAAGGTGTGAGCTGGGTTGGACTAAGAGAAAATGACTGGCTCAAAGTCACCCAGCTGGCTTTCATACTTAAGGCAGGACTAGAATTCACAGGCTCCTGGTTTATAGGCTAGTGCCTTAACCACTAGAACAGTGATGGCAAACCTTTTTGGCAACAAGTGCCCAAAGTGTGCGCTCATAACCGAAATGCAACACATGCGTGTCCTGCACATGCATGCATGCATCCCATGCATGAGTGCCCTGCATGCACGCACCCTGCCCCCACACGTGCCCCCCTGTGCATATGCCCCGCCCCCATGCATGCATGCCACCTCCCCGCGCATGTGCAGCAGAGACCGGAAGACCAGCTGGCTAGAGGGAGGTGTGCACACATGCACAGTGGTGCTGAGCTGGGGCGACGGCGCACATGTCCACAGAGAGGGCTCTGCGTGCCACCTATGGCACACGTGTCATAGGTTCGCCACCACGGCACTACACCAAAGTGGCCCTCATGTTTTAAAGGAGTAGAAAAGTCTTATGTACTGAACTGTTTTAATGCATGTTTTAATTTAATGCATAACACATTTGTTATGCATTAATTTACTTGATGCATTCTTCTAATAATCTGGTTTAATACTGTATGAAAAATCAAATGCTTGATTCCAATGTAATGAATTTTTCAATACATTTAACAGGAGGACATACTAACCTTCAATCTGTGCTGCTGGAGATCTTGCCCACTTCTTAATGCAGCTTAAGTGGAAAACATGATAGCAATTCCGACAGCTCCAAACTGGGGCTACCACACGGATCACCTCACAACATACCATACATTCATATTTTTCTGAGGTAAGCTGCTCTATCAGAGACCCTAGGAGAGATTTTAGTTTAAAAATATTAAACATACTAAATACTAGTACACAAGTATTTAATATATTTACTAAAATGTAGTAAGTCAGAAATATACCTACATTAATGTAGCATATTTGTTGCAAATTTAGTGGCAAGATTCATTTAAGCACAGTGTTGTAATGGAGACTATTTGGTCCGAACTAGTATATAAAGCCAGTAATCCATTTATTATGTCAAAAGCACCTTTTCAGATAGAACATCTGTCCCTGTATAGCTAGATCATTCCAAAGGTCCCTTTCAAACATCACCTTATTAAAAAACATCATGTACTATGCTATTCCCCATTTTTTTCAAATCCTGGCATTAACAGTACCATTATCTAAATATTCACTTTTTTCATTACTGAAGCAGACAATCTGATTTTCTGCAAGCAGTAGTCCACTTATACAGCAAGAGCATAATTGTCATTAAACATCAGTGACAGAACATCAGGCTACTCAGCAGTACAAGAAAGATTAAAAACATCATGCAGCTGCTGACATTACAATATTAGGTCAGTGCCTTCTCAATGATACTGCATTTCAAGAAGTTGTTATAAATACCGTGTTTCTCCAACAATACGGCCTCCACCAATAGGAAGCCCCACCATGTTTTATTGGCATAAAATCAAATTAAGTCCCTCCCCCCAAATTAAGGCCCATATTAAACATGTGAAATGGGGGGGAATGGCAGGGGGGCTTGCCGTTAGGAAGTACTTTTGTTGCATGCCCGGATATGGTGCTGCCTGCGTTGGTGGGGCACTTCATATCGGGAGACCTTCCGCCACCATTGCTTTCCCTTCTCCCTTGCTGCTGCGGCGTTAGAGCAACGCCGCGTTTGGCGCAGCCACGTGCGGCCAGCCAGGGCTCCTCCCTGCAACCGGAGCCCTGAGAAGACACTTGGCTTCAGGCGCTCCTGTTGCCGCCTTCCCTTTGCCTTCGAAGGTAAAGCCAATTATTTTAAAAACGACACCCTACTACAACAAAGCCTCCCCTGCCCGAGAGGGCAGCCCAACCCCACGTGGGGAGGCAAATCTCCCAGGGCCGCAGCGCAGCATTGGTCCACCTTGGGAGAAGCGCCCAGCCGCCATCCCTGCCTGGTGCCGGGCAGAGCGCAAAGAGCTTCGCCTGGGGCGCCCAGCGCAGCTGACAGGCGGGCCCTCCTGCCTGGCGGCAGAGTTCTCATCAAGGCAGCGAGCGCCTCCCCGCCGGGCCCTCCGCTCATCCCACCAGGGCTGCGCCGGAGCCGTACGGGCTGGGCAGAGCCGGGAAAGCGAGCTGCGGCACATTGACATCAACATCATAAGCCATACCATAGTGTAAAAGTCTGAATGCATATATTGTGGCTTGTAAATAACAATTTCTGGTTTAATAGCAGGCATGAACCCAACAAAATATGGCTTAGGCAAAAAATGATTAAGCAAACCATAGCTTGGTACAATGTGTGAACTATGTCAGTGGTCCCCAACCTTTTTTGTGCCAGGGACCAGTTTCACTCAGAAACACTTTTTCAAGGACCGGGGGGGGGGGGGGGGGGTCGGAGGTGGTGGTTTGCTTGCAGACGTTTCATTATCTGACTAGGTAACATGTTGTTACCTAGTCGGGTAATAAAACGTCTGCCAGCAAACCACCAAGTTCAGGGAACACCAATGCCTCCTCATTGCAACCCTGAGCGACAGATAGTCCCTGCAGGACGGCTGAGAAGCCTCACCTCTCGGCCCTGCCTTCATCAGCCCCATCCCTCAGGTGTCTCCCTCCCTCCCTCAGCCTCATCCCTCAGGTGTCTGCCTCGTTCCTCTCTCAGTCGCTCTCTCACTCCTCCACCAGCCCAGGAAGAAACTGCTTCAAAGAAGCCGGCAGGGTGGCTTTTCCTGTCGGCGCAGCTTCCCCAAAGCGCCCGTTCACCCCCACCCCGCCGCCCACGGTTCAATCCTCCGTTCTGCCTGCCTGCCTTCGTTTCTGGTGGTTTCGGAGCGCAGCTTCTCCGAAGCGCCCGTTCACCCCCGCCCCGCCCCGCCGCGGTTCAATCCAGTGCTCCGTTCTGCCTGCCTGCCTTCGTTTCTGGT